AACTTGCAATCCTCCTATAGGCATTGTTTTAAACTATTGAATTTTAGAAGTGTAATTCAGCAATAAAGAAGCAAATCAGACGGGTGCAGTGGCACATGCCTGTAATCCCAGCAACTCAGGAGGAAAGAAGACAGGAGGATCACAAGTTCAAAGCCAGCCCCAGCAACAGCAAGGCACTAAACAACTAACTCAGTGAGACCCTGTCTCTAAATAAAATACAAAAGAGCAATAGGAGTGTGTGGCTCAGTGGTCAAGTGTACCTGAGTTCAATTCTATGAAGAATGGCAATTATCGAGAATAAAAGTAACAATAAATGTTGTCAAGGATGTGAGGGAAAAGGTACACTCATACATTGCTGGTAGGATGGCAAATTGGTGCAACCACTCTGGAAAGCAGTGTGGAGATTCCTCAGAAAACTTTGAATGGAACCACCATTTGACACAGCTATCCCACTTCTTGGCATATACCCAAAAGTCTTAAAATCAGAATACTATAGTGACACAGCCACATCAATGTTCATAGCAGCTCAGTTCACAACAGGTAAACTATGGAACCAACCTAGGTGCCCTCCAATAGATGAATAGATAAAAAATGTAGTATATATACAAAAGGAATATTTCTCAGCCATAAAGAAGAATGAAATAATGGCATTTGCCCGTAAATGGATGGAACTAGAGAATATCATGCTTATTGAAATAAGCCAATCCCCCCAAACCAAAGCCCACATATTCTCTCTGAAATGTGGATGCTGACTCACAATAGGCAGGGTTGAGGGGAAGGAGGAGTGGAGGTTCACTAGATTGGACAAGGGGAATGGGGGGAAGGACGAAGGGATGGGATTGGGAAAGATAGTAGAATGAATCAGACATAGCTTTCCTGTGTTCTTATGTGAATACACAACCTATAAAACTCCACATCATATACAATCAGAAGAATGGGAAATTGTACTCCATGTATGTTTGATATAACAAAATCCCTTCTAGTGTCATGTATAACTAAAAAGAACAAATAAAAAGAAGAAGGTGGACTATGGAGTCAGACTACTTTACCATTTAACTATTTGATTTTTGAGGAAATGATTTAACTTCTTTGTGCTAATTTCCTGATCTGTAAAATGGAGAGGCCCAGCCTCATGTTATTATTATGGGGATTAAATAACCAAATGCATGAGAATCACCTAGAACAGTACCTGGTCCACAGAAACTGTTCAATACAGGGTAAAACTAGGACTAAGGGATAGATGCTCTGAAGATTTTAAAAGATCAGCTCAATTAAAAAAAATTCTAGTAAAATTGTGCAGACATGGAGTAAGCTGCCTTTGAATGTTAAATCATGAATGGGTGACTGCTTGTGAAACTGAGGATCGACAGTCCCATCAACTTTGGCATTCCATGTTTCCCTGACACTGAGGCCATGTCTGTGATGGAGCAGATACCCAATGTACTCAATATGCTTTTCTTGAATTGATTTAAGTCATATATATAAGCAAGAAGTGCTCATCCAGCTGAAGCATTACAATTTTGCAATGACCCAACGTAGTTTGTTTGCCACAATGTTTCTTCATCAATCATGAATGTTCCTGAACACATTTTTCTTAAACTTATAAAAAGACAAAGGATTTGAAGAAGAACCTGTGGCTTAGCAATTTTTGAATAGATCACTTATAGGACCTTTTGTGACACCAAGACTATCTTCTCAGCAAGGTGATACAAGTACTGCCCCAAGTCTGCAAAATGTTGGGGTGAATGGCACAGAGACCACCTCTTCCTTTACAACTTCTGAAAACACAAAGAATCAGCTCTGATACAGTACCCCAATTACAGAGGCCCAAGAAAGGAGGCATTATCTATTTCTTTAATAGTTAATGAAGAAAAAGAAGTTTTGGAATTAGAAACTTTCTGTCTGTTATGTTCTCATAAAAATGTTCCCAGGCCTTTTCCCAAGAGCCCAGAAAATAACCCCAAAGTTGCTTGCAATTCAACCAAATGTTTCTTTATCACGTCGGTCTCAATAAGATACAAAATATGGGTAGAAGAGCAGAAGTCCTGGGCCTGACAGAGCTACCCCCTTGCTTCCCATACTGGGCAGTTTCTCCAGACATGGACATCAATGACAGCAATCTCTGGGCTCTAAATGAAGACAGACAGACCAAGAAACAGGGACAGGTGGTCACTGCTACTCACTCTGAAGCCCCACATGGGGTATTTTAATAGTGTTCCCCATCTGTCCAACCTCAGGGGTTAATCCCTTCCTAATCTGAGCTGTAATAATTGGGTAATCAGACAAGACAATCGAAGAAGCCGAGACTATAGCTCTGCTGTTCTTTTTGGCTAGACTTTCTTTTCTTAGAGCAAAGTATAGCTGACCTAGAAATTTCCTGCTTGCGCTTCAGTCTTCTGCTAAATGAAAGCAGACACTCATAAGAAGAAAGCATGTTTAGAAAGCATAGCCTTCTTTCTTGGGAGTAATTTGAGTCATTGCTCCATGAACATACAGGAATGAGAGCTGCTAGGGGTAGATCACATGATCCTGCTCTTTGCTACAAAAAAAAAAAATAAATAAAAAAAAAGCCTCAAGTCCCCAAACCCATAGTTAGCTTGGGCTAATGAGCTCACTGGTGTGAGTCCAGGAAACATCCCAGAATGAAAACATCTGCTGAGATTTCTCTCTTGAAAAAAAAAAAAAAAAAGTAACCTTGCTGGGGTGGATGGTAAATGAAACATAAATGGAAGCCACGTGAAGCCGGATCAGGGTCTTAACCTTAAAGCCCACGAAGAAAACCCAGTAGGTGGTTAGGATCTGGGACAGAAGTAAGCCTGGCTATTTGGGGATTAACCCATCATGAAGGAAAACAAGAGATTTCTTTCTTTCTTTTTTTTTTTCCAAAGGAGGAAAAAGCAGCATCCAAGCTGCTGAGGCCTGACCATACTGGCCTAGACCCTGGGAAAGAACAAAGGCACCGACAGCCTAACGAGGTCTCACAAGGGCCTTCCCGTCCCTGTCAAGGGCAGGCATCACCCTGTATTCCTGGCAGCACCTAATACACAATAGACACCACAAGTGCTTGCTGAATTGAATGGACCTCCCTAAAATACTCTGGAGCTTGCAATAACCACAGTCAGGTATTTAGTTCAGTGGAGTTTTGCAAAAGAGACTTTATTCACAAGATGGCCAAATGGGTGCCTAAGGAGTGCCTAAGTCCCCCAGATGGCCCCGGTGACCCAGCTGTTCTCATATTTGTCACTCATAGCTCTAAAAATAACTGTAGAGGGTGCTGGTAGTGCAATAATCTCAGGTAAGTAATTGGAAGATCCTAGCCTTTGTTCTTGTTCCTCCTAGAACATACATCCAGTAATGCTTTAGTCCAGTGATTCCTTTAGCTCCTGGGTATAAAACCCAGGGTACATTGCACTTTCAGTGTCCTTCAACTTTAATGCAATGGAAAACACACAGAGATGAGACTCCACCTGTCCTGGGCAGCTTTCCTGAGCCTTGGAGGATGGACTCATCATAAATCCTAAGCTTCTGTTTTCCCTGGCTGCAACTTTATTAAGTGAGTAATAAAGTTGCTTCACTTAATTTGCTCTGTAAGTGTTCTGTCTCACAGCACACATGCAAGTGGATTGATAACTGATGCCTGGTCTCGGTGAACTGTTTACAGTCCTCCCCTAGAATTGATTCCTGAGCAGTGAACCGGGTACACAGAAAGTGAGAACTTACTGGGGGTCCTTAGGAAGAGACTCTGCTCCCTGTATCCTTTACCCTGCTGAGCTACAAAGGAGTCAGCAGGAGACACCTTTCTTTCCGTGAGCTTAGGGATGTAGGAGTAGAAAGGGCCCTGATACTATCTGGAACCCTTGTGGGTGTCCCCCATGCCAACGTGGCAGGAGCAGGAGAGGATCTTGCAACAAGGACAGGGCAGACTCAGAATGGCATGAGAAAGTAAGACCACGTTTCCATGTTTCTTAGAAATGAAAGTAGCTGGGACAGAGGTCAGTGATTCTAGGAGGTTGCAAGAGTGAAGCAGGGTACAAGAGAAGGCCGCGTGGTTGTGAGTGAGGAGGTAAGGTCCAGGAATTCAAGTCTGTGAGGCTGGAAAGGGGCTACAGGATGGGTCTATGTCACAGTGGAACAGGCATCCTTATCTCAAGGTTGCGATAAGGGAATGTCATGATAGAAAACAGCTTGATCCCATGGCTGGAAATAGGAGGTGAGGAGCCTGGGCAAAGGGCCTTCCTTAGCTACCCAGGGTGGTTTATGCATGGTATTTATTTGCTCAGTGGGCTGAACCAAGGTTTGACTTTGTATCCAGAAGCAGATACAGAGCAGAGGCTCTTTAAGATGAGCAAAAGTACACCCAAGATGTGGGAATTTAGCTTTTGGATGCATGTTCCACTGTGACGTAGATCCATCCTGTAGTCCCTTTCCAGCCTCACAGACTAGAATTCCTGGACCTTCTCTGGACCTTACCACAAGGCCTTCTCTTGTAGCCTGCTTCACTCTTGCATCCCTGCCAGGATTAGATGATTCCCACTGCTAGTTTGGCTGCCCTCTAATGCTACATTTATCTATGCCCAAAGCCCTGGCATCCTGTCCACACACCCTCTGCTATTTGACCTCATTCTGCCCTGTTTTTGGCCTGTGTTGGTGATGACAGCTGAAGAGGCCCCATCCCACTCTGCAATCGAGATAGAATATTTTCTAGGAGTGGTTCTAGCTAAATGGATGAGAGGGAATGAAGGGGATGCTTATTAGGAGCAGACTGGTGGGTGTGCTATTAGGTATTTGTCAGGCAACTCCATCTTAGGTGCAGGAGGTAGGAGAACAATAAGAGTCACAGACAGAGTTTCTCTTGTTCTGCCCTCCTCGTGATGTCAAACTCCGATCCTCTCTTACATTCCTCCTGGGTAGTCTGGGATTCCCAAAGTTCTCATGGCATAAACTATTATCAGCTTTTCTCTGACAACACCATTTTCCTATTTGTTTCCTCTGGCTGGCAGAGTGGTTCTGTCCCACATTCTGACAACTCTGGAAGGTCCATCCATGACCCTGAAATTTGCCAAGGGACCAGACCGGCTGGAGCAGCCCATATTCTTAGAACTCACCAATGTCTGAATCCAAGGACAGTCATTATCTCTGTCAAAGTCACTGATGACCATGTTGTGGACTGAAGGTGAGACAGATGTAACCATTGCTGGTGATGATGATGGCTGGGGGTTGCCTTATGTGTTCCAAAAGATATATCGATATCCTAATCCCTGGCATTTATTTGGAAATAGGTTCATTGAAAATGTAACTAAGATGGAAGATGAGATTGGACAGATTAGGGCGGACCCTTATTCCAATATTACTGGTGTCCTTTTACAAAAATAAGGGACATGGACAGATGCACTGGGGAGAACATCCTGTGAAGATGGAGGCAGCCGCTGGAAAGAAGTGCCTGAAAGCCAAGGGATGCAAAGGTTTGTTGACAACAACCAGAAGCTGGCAGACAGGCATGGGACAGATTCTCCCTCAGGGACTATCCTAGTCACCAGCCCTGCTGTCTTCTTCATCTTGAACTTCCAGTCCCAGAACTAGGACACATAAATTTCTGTTGTTTTAAGGCACCTTTGTTGCAGCAGCCCCAGGAAAATGATACAATGGTGCTTCCCCCAAGTGCCAGCGCTCTCAGTTGATGCATGCTTTGTGTTCTCTGGGGACCTCCCAGCATTACAAAGAAGTGCTCACTTTGCTTTTATTTTTGTCTTCTGTGCCTAGGATTCAGATACAAATCTATGGGGTCTGGACCCGACCGGCATTTGATGAACCAGAACATCTCACTACCTGGGCTCTTGATGACTCCAGAGCCAACATAGGATCAGGTCTCCCCTGAGATGAGGACTTTCCCCTCCATGACCTCCACTGTACACCAAGGTTGATGTGGAAAATGATGAATTGCACTGGGATTTTACACTTGCATGTTACTAATTAGAAATGAATTTCTCATTTGAATAAACATATATAGAGAACAGCTATGAATTCACAGTAAAAACTGAAGTTTGGGGAAAAAGCAGGAATCAAAATACACTTAAGAAAGACATAAGAACTTCAATCTATATGCTCATGTACAAGTGTGCCACAATGACATCCACTATAGCCTATAATTATTATGCACTAATAATAATAATAATTATTATTATTATTATTAATGTTTCTGTGTAGCTCAGGAATCTCTCAAATATCTCTAGTCTCCATCCTGCCTTGGCCTGTACCCTTTTCAGGCCAGGAGGGCACAGGAAAGTGCCAGCTGCCTCCTCTGAGCCAGGCTTCCTGCAAGGAACACCCCTGTTTCTCTCCCAACACCTGGGCACTTCATATTGTGATCTCTGCTTATGTGAGGGCAAGGCCAGTCCTCATATATAGAGAGTTGACAGCAGGGGAGGATCAAGGCTGCCCAAACTAGGGCCTTTTCTGAGAGTCTTATATAAGGATGTTGGGTTGGACACTTGAGAGTCCTCACTAGCATCACAGCTTCTAGAGCTTACCTTGGGGGAAAACAATCACAAGTGGGAACAGACAAAAGGAAGGGGCTAGATATTTCAGACTGGGTTGGGGTCTAGAATGACTAAAGTACTCTGCAGATGGGAGATATTTGTTCCAATTCAGGTATCATTTCAAAATCTCCTTGATTAAACACTATCCCTTTAAAGACTTAAGTCAAAAAGTAAAGCCAGTGATCTCTTTAATCAGAGATGCTGTGACTTGAAGAGTCCCATAGCAAGCAGCCACACAATAGTTCCAAGGCAGGCTCCCCACCTAGCCCTTCCCACGTTGTGTTTTGAGCGATTCATTGAAGGTAGAAAATTCCACTTGGTAAGCTTAGGACAGAGGCAGAGGCTCGGCTTTTAGGAGACACTCCAAAATAGGAAATGATGATGATGATGATGATGATGATGATGATGATGATGATGATGATAAAGTCATCAAGCCCTTGTGTTTCTCTTACATTTTTCCTGTTTTGAATATACTCCTCTAGAGGTGCTTGCTGCTCAGAAAGAAAAGTCTTGACTCTATGACAAACACTCCAAAAAGAAACGCTCAAATTTATCTTCTAGCACATTTATCTTCTATCTTCCATGGGCTGCTTACAGTTGTGAAGCATTGTCTTGCTTTGGAATTGCTTTGTCCTGAAACATTTTCCCTCAGCACCATTCTCTATTCCCTTCTACTTTAATTTCCTGCTTACTCTTTAAATTGGGATTGAGTGGGAAAATGTTTCCATTTTGTGCAAATGTTGTGTCTACCTCCCGACTCCCTTGACTGTGGAGAGCAATCTCAGGTCTAGATAAATCTTTGTGATGGTTCATTACAGTGGCTGTTGACTTCAATCTGCCACCCAACTGTTTGACTGCAACTCTAACCATCAAACCATCCTGTTCAACACCCCCTTCCACTGCAGGCTCTGTCTTCACCTGTGGTTCTTCTGTTAAGTTCCTTGTAAACTGGCCCCACTCTTCTTTTTCTGATAGTCCCATGACAAGGACTTGCCCAATCATCCTTCTACTTCTGGGTCACCTTTCTCTGACTTAAGGGACTAAAGATGGCTTTGTCCCTTTCTCTTTGTTTGAGTATCTATGTCCCAAAGGAATGATATCCATCCCAAAGTTCTCTGCCAATTTTCTCCCAGGGGGCCCAAGGATTCTCATGTAAATTAGAGGGGCATTTGGCCTGACAGGTGAGAGCACCCAGTGGAAGCATTTACCTTCTCCTAACCCTCAGGGTCAGGGTCAGAGGACGGGAGTTTTTGTTTTTTTTTTTTTTTTATTATAGACTGCTTCATTCTTCCCTGATCCAAGCTACAAAAGCTTTCAAACTGACACAGTTACTTATATAGTAACCCACATATCTAAGCATCTCCGTGTGGGTCTGAACCAAAAGGTTGTGAAAAAATAACAAATGAGTTTCTCTTTATAGTTCCTCATAACTGGTCTACCTGCAAAGCAATGAGGACTTCGATCCATTTTGCCAAGTGGTCATTTAGAATTGGGAAGAGCCTCTCTGGTCTCAGTTTTACATCCTATTCAGGGAGAGATACAGGTCAATAGTAGGATTAGCTGATGGGATTAGAATTCTGGGAATAAAACAAAACTCATGGATTTCTTAATTCTACAAACAGTATTTTTGAAAAAAAAAACAACAACAGAAAACAGCAACATACAACTATTAAGGCCTAAATGTAAACAAAATACATTTCAAAACTACAGAAGTGGTAATGTCAATATATGTTATTAGCAAAACTCCAACTTGAATTGGGTAACACATAGAAGAAAATTAAGCAGGAGATGAGTAGGAAAGAGATGAATATTTGTGTATATATGTAAATATTACATATAATTAAATAATATTTTAAAATAGAATAAATTAAATAATGAAAAATATAAATCATATATATGTCTTATTTTTTTAGGAAAAAAAAAGGAGGTGGGTGGGTAGAGCTTAAGCCTTTAAGCAAATAAGCCCTCAGCTGGGATCTTAACAGCACATATCAAGGTTACAATATTAGCAGTCACCTTTGAAGTCAGAGCACCGAAAATATCCCCTGTCTGGGATATTCCCTGGGATGAGGTTTTTCCTTTTCTCCAGATCAGGTGAGTCGGAGCATTTGTAGAGGCCCCTGGGCACTCAGAGACTCCTGTCAGGCTTTTCCTGCCCTAGGGGGGAAAGAGGCTGCAGGTTAGCCCTGGGGAAGTTCAAGGACCAGGGCCAGGAATGGCAGCAGAAGGAGCAGGAATAACACCAGCATCCTCCTGAAGGGAAAAGTAAAGAGCAGATCAAAGAACTTCAAGTCTCACTTGTGGTGGGGACCTGAGGATCCCAAAGTATGTTCTCTGTCACCTCATTGATTGTTGCCAACTGTGGTTTGAGTAGTGGCTTCTGTGACTTCAGCTCCTAGTTGCTCAGTCTGGGATAAAACCCATGGTTGTCCCAATGGACTGGTCAACCTCCCTCCAATGGAACTGTTGCACTTTCATTGCTGAGAGCTGCTAATTGGTCTTCAGCTGATGGTTGGTGCTTTCCTAACAAGAATCAGAACCACAATCATAAGGATGCAGCACTGACCTGGAAATTGCACTTAGCATTTGGACTAGACATAGATGTAAACAGACACATTTCATGCCTGCTGGGCTTAGTACTCACATGTTAAGGACAGACATGAAGGACTTGGGAAAAACACAAGCATGCTCCGTCTAGTATACATTTAAAAAGAAAAAAAAAAAAGAATAAGCATTTTTGGGTTGGGCTTACTTGCTTTGCCATTTTTATTGGCATTTCCTGGTCCATGATTGGGCTTCCAGAAAGCAAGCCTGGAGGAGCAATCTGAAGGGGGGAGAGAGGGTCGATGATATCTGAATTCCATAATTACGACTTTAATTTCTGCAATCGGCTGGAAGCTGTGTTGCAGGCTCTTGCTACAAAAAAAAAAAAAAAAAAAAAAAAAAAAAAAAAAAAAGCAAGCCAAGTGGGATGGAAGTGGGTTAGGGTATTATATAAGCTCTTTGCGGGAGGGGAGATGGTCTTTTATGTGTGCTCTTTTGCGGCTGCTGCTACTGCAGCAGTAGCGCAGCAGCAAGAGCGGCTCAGGTTGATTTAGAATACGGATGACAGTGGCCTGGCGCGAGCCCACGACTGACGAAAGCTGCTTATCCCGCTCGGTTTCCATGGAGACGAGCAGGAGCAGCGGCGGCAGCGGCAGCAGCAGCGAGGCTGTCAGGGAGCTCGGCTGCGATCGCGCGTCCCCGTCCGCGGGGGTCTGCAGGAGGAAGGAGGAGGCCGGGGCTGGGACCCTCGCGGCAGACATGGACTTGCATTGTGATTGTGCCGCTGAAACGCCGGCCGCCGAGCAGCCGTCGGGGAAGATTAATAAAGCTGCTTTCAAATTATTCAAGAAGAGGAAATCGGGTGGCACCATGCCCAGCATTTTTGGGGTCAAAAACAAAGGGGATGGGAAAAGCTCAGGTCCGACGGGGATGGTGAGGAGCAGGACCCACGACGGATTAGCCGAGGTGGTGGTGCTGGAGGGCAGCAAAAAGGAGGAGCCGCGCGCCGGGGGCGACAGTGGCGGGGGCCGTGGCGGCGGTCGGCCGAACCCCGGGCCCCCCAGAGCCGCGGGGACCGGCGTGGGCTCCCTAGCCAACAGCTCGGTGGCTAAGTCTCACAGCTTCTTCTCCCTTTTGAAAAAGAACGGGAGATCGGAAAACGGCAAAGGAGACCCTGCAGAGGCGAGCAAGGCTGGCGGCAAACAAAAGAGGGGGCTGAAAGGGATCTTCAGCAGCATGCGCTGGCACAAGAAGGACAAACGCGGCAAGGAGGAGGAGAAGGAGGCGCACGCGGCCGGCCAGGGCAGCCTCATTTTGCCGGGCTCGCTCACCGCCAGCCTGGAGTGCGTCAAGGAGGAAACGCCCAGAGCCGCGTGCGAGCCGGAGACCCCCAGCCAGGACGCCCCTCGAGACCCAGCAGGTGAGCTCGGAGGGGGAGAGGAGGTGCCGGCCTCCGCCGATCGCGCCCCAGCGCGGACCTGCTGCGAGGCCGAGAGCCCCGGGGGCCCTAACGACAAAAGCGCCCGGGGAGAGGACGCCGCGGGGCAGCGGCGCGCCGAGAAGCCCCGGGCACCCCCTGAGTCGGGAGCTGGTGAGGTCCACACTGCCGAGGATGCTTCCAGGACAGGTGACGTTCCGATAAAGACGGTCCCCCTGGTCGACTCTGAAGGTGGCAGCGGCCGGGCGTCTGCCGTCCCTGACCCTTCCTCTGTCGATCCACCCTCAGACCCATCGGCAGATCGTATTTGTTTGATGTTTTCTGACGTGACTTCACTGAAAAGCTTTGACTCTCTTACAGGCTGTGGAGATATTATTGCAGACCCAGAGGAAGAGGCAGGTCCCAGCTGTGACAAGCATGCCCCCGGGCCAGGCAAGCCAGTCCTCTCTAAAAAGAACCCCAGCGTGGTGGCCTACCAAGGAGGAGGGGAAGAGATGGCCAGCCCGGATGAGGTGGACGACACCTATCTCCAGGAATTCTGGGACATGCTCTCCCAGACTGAGGAACAAGGACCAGGGCCCCAAGAGGGAGCGGCTAAGGCGGCAGCTGCACTGGAGACCAAAGTGGTGCCAGAGACCTCCAAAGATGCCAGGAGTGGAGAAGCGTCCAAGGACGTGTCCTTGGTCAAGCGCAGGAGGCTCAACAGGATCCCCATTGAGTCCCATCCGAAGGAACAGCCCAAACACCCGGAGAAAGAGAAGGAGCAACCAGAAGGCGTCCCCAACAGTGACGAGGGCTACTGGGACTCGACCACTCCGGGTCCAGAGGAAGAAAGCGCCAGCAGTGGTAAAAAGGCTGGCATCCCCCGGGATAGCTACAGTGGGGATGCGCTCTATGATCTCTATGCTGACCCGGATGGAAGCCCAGCAGTCCCTCCTGCCAACGAGGAGACGTCTTGCTTGTCCCGGTTAAAGCCTGTGTCTCCAGGAACCATCACCTGTCCACTGCGAACACCAGGCAGTTTACTGAAGGACTCCAAAATCCCTATTAGCATCAAGCATCTCACGAACCTTCCATCCAGCCATCCAGTTGTGCACCAGCAACCAACCAGGAGTGAGATGCCCAGAACAAAAATTCCCGTCTCCAAAGTGCTGGTTCGCAGGGTCAGCAACCGGGGCTTGGCTGGAACCACCATCCGGGCAGCGGCTTGCCACGATAGTGCCAAAAAGTTGTGAGGTCTCCGATGCCAAGGTGGATGGGCCACATATCAAGGAATACAACTTTCCCCCTGGAAACCATTAAAGGATATTTGCTTCCCCTAAAGAAAGTCATTTAGTGCAGCCCCCTTCTCTGGAGCCTGGACCTATTAGGTCTTTGTGCTGGGAACAGGGGCAGGATACAGCCGAGAGGGAGATGCTACACCTGGAATTCTCCTCTCAAGATAAGTCCCTGAGAATTATTTTCAAGTACTTTTTTCTTTTTTTTTTTTTTTACCTTTAAAAAATATTTTTTTGTTCCTTTTTCTTTAATACACTGAACCCTTGGAAGTCACCTTTACTTGCCTTTGCAGAAAACAAGACTTAACCAAACCTAAGTTAGCTCATGCCAGGATATTGGGCTGTGCTAGAGTCAGAGGGCCTGGAGGAGTCAACTGCAGACCAGAGGACACTTCCCTTTCTTTCTTTCCGTTTCCTTTCCAGAGGTGGGTGGGGGGAAGACCCTTTTCTGTATCACTGTGTGGAAAACATCTAACAAAGCTGAAAGAACCAGGGAGTTACCCGATCAAAAGGGATTTTGGTTGACAGAAAACTTCCCTACTTTCGTTGGCTAGGTGTGCCAATAGGTATATATTTATCACTTGGAAAATAAAGAAAAGTTTTGGTTTGGTTGGTTTAGATCATTTGGGGAGAAATAAAAGGCTTACAGAGTAGTTTTTCACTTTTTGTTTGTTTGTTTGGGGGGATCACCTGCCCCTATCTACCCAGTACAAAAATCCAGATCAGGGAAAGATTTCACTAAATGCCAATAGATACAGTATTTTAGCATTTAAAATTTAACCTTCTCATGTAGATAATGCATATTTTACAGCTCATCCCACTGTTAATATTTTGTAATCTGTCAATACCCTGGAATTTAAAATCTGGTCTTATAGCTGGATATGATGACTATCCCCAAACCATTAGGTTCTTTTATGTACTGTAACCTGAAACAGAGCTGGTTTTGGTTTATAAGGGCTCTCTGGTCCTCAAAAAAGATCTATTGTGTTGGTGTCCCAGAAGAATGGTTTTACCTTGTCTTGATTAAGAGTCCATTTGTTTTTCACCTCAAACCCTTGTTTTCAAAGATTTTATCTTAGTTATAAAATTTTAAACCCAACATTTCATCAATGTTGGTGAGTCCAAAATGAAGGACACAACAAAAAACCATAGAAAGTAGTGTTTCCTGCCATCTGACTTTTGCTTTATAGATCATGGCTGAGACAGGTGTGTTTGGAGTGAAATTGGCAAGCTTATGCATCATAAACACATTATTCTAAGATTTTTTTTGAGAAGCAGTTTAATTATATGTATGTTTTCTATCTAATATTTCAGCCAAGACTTTTATTCCAGAAAGGATTATTACATGCCTGGTAGTTTGAAAGATAAAGTGAAGCAGTTCCTAGAATGCTATTAGTGTCTAGTGACTAAATTAATATCATTTTGAAATGTGCTTCAGTGTATTCAATCAAAAGGCCAGAGCTCCTTGTAGAGGTGATTCATCATATCAGGAGGATTATACATATGCAAGTGAAAACCCACAATGTAAATGACATGAATGCTTCTATAACTCTCATTTACCAGAGATTACTAAGTAGTGGACTGTTATTTTGTTTTTAAATTTGTTTTCTGTTTTGTGAAAAAAGAAGACAAGTTAAATATATGAAAACCTATTTTGATAATATGAAATTGAAATCAAAAGAAAACAAATCTGAGTCAGTGATGTGAGCAGCTTGTCTCCCATTTTAAATTCAGAAGGATTGAATTAGAAAAAGAGGTAGAAGCTTGTTGAATTTCTTTATTTATTACTGGCTATTATTGTGTTGTCTCAGATCCTTAATGTTATTTCAAAACAGTATTTTAATATTTAATATCCTTATATCTCTAGATAAGGATCTTCCTGCAGACATAGCTTTCAGGGTACTGAACACTAACTACAACAAATTCATACAAGCATCTTGCACGTGCTCACGCACTCAACTGCGTACAAACTAACAGACAAAAGACATCTAGAAATATTTAGCTTTAGGAATATCTTGGAAATTATTTCTGTTCTTGAGAAAGGACTTTGAATTTGATTTAATGCTGACAGTACTATTTAGACTCAAAATACATTCATTTTCCCCCAGTGAATCAGAGAAAACATAAATTTTATTTCTAGCTGCAAAACAAAGGCTCTGTTTTTATTTCCTTCTTGTGCATTTTCTGGCAAGAATTATATTGTCCTTTGTGTGACTCCAGGGCCAAGTTTTATTTCCTCATCTGTTCAGTTGTACAGTAAAAGTTAACAGTACCTGAAGAACTGAGAAATTGTAAAGTCAATCTATTTCTAAAAGATTAGAAGAAACAATTTGTGTTTTTATAATTTGGGGACTTATTTCTGCAATGTACAGTAAAGTTTTAAGTTCTCCTGTCAATTAATTGATTATGAAAGATTTAAAATATTTTAAAAGTTATTTTCCCCATATTTTCATAACTTTTAAAACCTGATATCTCTAAGAATTGCACCCACACTAGTCAAATGGGGGATTTGGGCAATGAATTAAATGGCCTCCATCACTTGGTGGGGACCCCTGCAGTGGTGGGAGGAATGGGTGGCCAACTTTTTCCAACTACAGGAGAAGAATCATAGTTGCTTTCTTGTGCCAAGGGCTACTTTGTCTCATTTGAATTAATGGAGATGATTTTTAAATATTTTTCTCTCAAATTCCATGCCAATTTTTATTGATGCACTCTCTAATAACCCTGTAAAGATTATTTAGGCCCATAGTTGCTGTTTTTTTTAAAGGGAAAGGTTAGATATGGGTGAATCACACCTTTCCTGGGGTGTATGATTTAAACATACTTAGTGGATTAATGCAACTTTGGACTAAGAGCTACCCAAATTAGAGGGGGGAAAGACAAATCAATCGTTGGAACGGAATTTACCAGTTTAATAGCTTGGCACAAAGACATCCTGACTTTTATGATCTATATTATACTTACAATGTGACTTGAAACATCCTATTTGATGGTTGGTGCTTTTACCCTTCCATTAACACCAAGTGGGAGAAATTTTATTTACTACAGCATTTTAGATAATCACAAGATGAAAGAAAATTTTTGTCATTTCACCTAATAACAACAATGGGATATAGAGCATTAAGGACTTCCTTTGGATACATTTCCCATCAATTATCTGACTCTTTAAATACAGGTTTTTAATCTATGAAGATAATGGCTGACAGAATTTAAAGGTTTCATGCATTCGTCACAGTAGTTTTCAAGTTTTGCATTTAGATGAATATGCCAAGAGCCCTTTCCTGACCAATTATCAAGGTAGAAAGATTATATCAGTTGTCAACATTGCTTTGACTGAACCTTCTAAGAGTTTCCATTATTTACCTCTTTGTCAGATTAATTTTCCTAGGTGACTCTTTACTGTGAGTTCTGAATGAAGAGACTGACTCCTGTAGCATTTTGTCTGTCCCTTTATTTACACCATAGTTGCTTAGTACCCTTATCAGAAACGGGGCACTTTGCATGACGTTGAGTTAGCATGTCTGGACCATGTTAACATGTTGGAACTCATTCTTGGTTTAGTTATTCTAAATTTCTGTCTTGAATTACAAATAGATGGATTTGGCCTCCCTGTTTGTACTGAGATATGTCCTAGTACATTCACAGGTACTTTTCTTTTTTCACTTCATACTACTCTTTTATTTTTTTCATTACTAAGAAATCAAGACTTTAAATGATTGAGAAAAAGGCATCCTATTTGCTTCTTATTTTAAACAGCATGGCTGTTTTAAACATCTGGATGGAATTAGAGAAACCCAAGTACCTCAGCTCACACCTCTCTTTTTCTCCTCCTCCAGGCAGAGCAAGGAATGGATGACTCGGTTATTCGTGCAAAGTCACACTTAGTCTTTCAATCCATTACCCCAAAATATTTATAAAACAGGTTAGGACCAAAGGGCTACTAGGGGAGACCAAGGTCTTAGACAGCTGGTGTGGGAAAGCAAAAGGCCCTCGCTGATTTCATAAAAAGAAGTCGCCACTGTCTGTGAGGTGTGGCTCCTCCCCCATGGCGGTAGTGGAGTTGTCCCCTTGTCTGTCTCTGAAGACCCTCTCCTGGCTGTCACAGATTGCTCCTTAGAAGCCTTTCCACTGTGATAATGGCTTGAAGGAGACAGACGGTTGCACTGAGAGCCACTTAGAAAGGATAAATTATCCTTCTGCAGATGTTTTAACGGGTGATTCCCAATGCTAGTTTCATGATCATGGAAAAGAGTTCCTGCTCAAACTGAAAAAGGAAAGATGAAAGTAGTCACTAAACGCACGTCCAGAGCTGAAAATGGGCAGTTTTGATGATTGGTGTTTACTTGAACTAAGTGCAACACATTTTTATGGGACAGATACCATATCTAATACTTAATAATAACCCCTTCCGTTTGGGGTTTCATTCATTCTGCTGTAATTGGATTTTCTTAATATTCATTAAATGACTTTATTTTACCTTTTTTTTTGTATTTGTATTTGTTGCTTATAGTTTGTGGGATGGAGCAGAGTGAGATGAGTTAAGCAAATTCCTCTAACAATAATAACAGTAATTACAATATAATGTGTGTTGACGACTTACTATGCTCCAGGCACTTATAGCAGCTTTACGGATATTTACTTAGTCCTCTTATGGCCATAGGGGAGAGGCAACATTGTCTTCCTAGTATGAAACCTTTAATTCATCCTTTTTGTTTGTTTCTAATCCCTTTCCACCTCTGTCCTGCTCTGTGTCTCTGTCTCTGTTGCTCTCTGTTTCGGTGTCTCTGTCTCTCTTTTTCCTTCCTGGGACAAGGGCTATAAATACTTTAGTGTCCTAGGGTAACACAAGAGCTAAGAACTGCTGGAGTCATTAAACAGTTCACTTTCACCAGGAAAAGCTCACCCATGTCCACGCAGCTTTACGTCTAAGATGATGGTGCTCACAGTCACTCACAGGGATCCCTGCCACGCTTCGTTAGTGAGTAGGAGAACACGGGCCTTCCTTCAGAGCTGTCTTCTCCTTTCAGGGATGAACATGGAAAGTACAGACAGAAAGCTCTTCTGCTGTCGTAGTAATACTTCTTCCCTGATAGGATTTCCGAATTCCAAGCACGCTTCACTTGTTTGCTTAAGCCCAATCTAGGCTTGTTCTGGCTGTTGCGTGCTTTTATTTTATTTATTTTTTAATTATAGTAAACATTTAACATAAGATCGACCCTATTAGCAATTTTTAAGTGTATAATACAGTATTGTTAACTACAGACACATTGTTGTACAGCAGATTGTTAGAACTTACTCATCTTGATGTAACTGAAACTTTATCCCTATTGATCAGCAACTCCCCCATTCCTCTTTCCCTCAGTCCCTGGCGACCACCATTCTACTCTCTGATCCTATGGAGTCTGACTATTTTGATACCTCATGTAAATGGAATCATGCAAGCATTTGTCTTTCTGTGACTGGCTTATTTCACTGAGTATCATGTCTTCCCGCTTTATCCCTGTTGTCAGATGCTAGGATTTCCTTCTTTTTTTGAAAGCCGAATAATATTCCATTATATGTAGATACCGCATCCATTTTGTCAACATCATGGCTATTGTGAAAAATGCTGGAATGAACATAGGAATGATAATATTTTTTCAAGGTCCTGATTTCAGTTCTTTTTGTTAAATATCCAGAAGTGGGATCACTGGCTCATATGGTCATTTTATCTTTGAATTTCTAAGAACTTTCCATAGACTTTTCCACAGACGCTGCACCAGTTGACATTCCCGCCAACAGTAGGGCCACTTTCTCCACATCTTCACCAACACTTATCATCTGGGGTGTTTGTTGAAATGGTAGCCAATTGAGTTATCCTTTGCCTTGATGCAGTTCTGAAGTCCAGATATAAGCACCTGGCTCTTTCAGAAATAGTGCATCCTATGTTCTGTCTGTGGCCATTGAATAATACTGACCTTTATTTTCTGATTCATTAATTTGCTCAACAAGTAGTCATTCAGCTCCTCTAAGTCAATCACCATGAAAGTATTTTGTATTTAATTCTAATAACTAGCATGGGCTGTGTGTTTACTACAGTGCCAGGAGTGGAGCTCTGTGCTGTATTTTACATTGCTATCTTTACTGTTCACAAGAACCATGTAAAGTATATATTGACTCCATTCTCCAGAGGAAGAAAATAATGTTTGGAAAGGATAAAAACCATCTTGACCAAAGTCATTCATTTAGTAGGTAATAGGGGCAGCATTTGAACCAGAAATTTAACTCTACAGCTGATGCTTTAACTGTAAATATTTTTTTAGCCATGAGAATCAATTTTTGTATTACTTGTTTTAAATAAGAAATTGATCAAAGTTTTGAACTGCCAGTGTCAAACAAGATTTTTATGATGGTGCACCTCATTAAAACAATGACTACTTTTAGTTAAAAGTGAACTTGGTTTTTAAAATGTTAGTTGATGGCCTTTCAATAATCCAAATTACCTACAAGTCTAAAAGGTCTATCTCAGAGTCTAGCAGACTTTTTTCTCACCAAAAAATTGGGCCCTAGTCACCAGTTATTTTTTGAGCTATATATTAACTGGTCTAAAATCTGATAGATACTTTGACAATAATAAAACCAGCAAAGTAATTTCCATAGTGAATTCATCAGGTTGCAACCTGAGTTACGATGCCTCTCTCTGTATTTAGGGAAAATCAGTTTGAAATTACACTGCTGTCACAACTCATGAGATTATTTTACTGACATACAAGTTACCTACATTTGGTCCAATTTTTTTCTGACTTTTAGATCTCAATGAGATGCAGTTGAAGAATTCAGCAACAATGGTTATTCTATTGATTTGAAAACTGGGACGATTTTTGGAAATTATTCAAGAGTTGGATAGAGTAACTATGTGACAAGACACATTTTAAATAAAATGCAGCCCGGGTTCCCATTATTTGAGGCACATTAAACTTTCTCAGATACTTTCAGACCTGGATCACTTAATAAACTACAGCAGAAATACTAAAACTATCCAGTCAGGTAACATGGGGCATGGAGCAGATACACAGTTAACACTTTCCACTTCATTTCATGACCCCAGTTAGCCTGAAGGAATTAACAAACCTTCTTAAATACCTACGTGAGAACCATTTATTCCTCCTCTAGGCACTTATTTCTAAATAAAGGTGGAAAAACTCTAACAAAGACTATTTAATATTTTTATTGCTTCCAGGATAAATTTAATTAAACACAGAGGATCGGATAGTGGTAGAACTATCAAGAATATCAGGGAAAATGGTGTTGATGTTATAAAGCAAAGTAAATTTGTGTCATTTTTACTTGTCACCAGCTTCCTAGCAAGCTCACTGTGAACTTCAGGTTTTGCCCAACTTGTTTATATGAAGCATCTCAGTGTAACAGAAGGAATAGCAGATTATTTGAAAATGGTGACAAAGAGAACCTAAATGAGAGACCCCATTTCTATAATTAGTTTCCCTGAAAGTCAGGCATGTCTTTAAGGACAAGCTGTTGGCTGTATTATTTTTGTGCACAGGAGGAAAATTGTTAGTAGGTTTATAGATATTATTTTTATAATAGAATGTTAATCCCCTGAAAAACATCAAAAGTTGTCTCCTAGAACTAACTCTATGTTTTCAAAACTTGTTTTAAAAAAGGATTCTAAATAGCAATAGGATCTTTTCTTCCTTCTCCACTCCAGTGGTTTCATGGGATAGATGAATCAATGTTTATATTTTTAAACCTGTAAATATTTTATTTTGGGTATTTTGTATATTTGTTGATATAATTCCATTTTGTGCATATATATATATATATACCATTGTGCATGTTGCTGTTTTTGATAGTCACTCTTCCAATGAATGTAAGAAGCTTGGACTAATAGCACTTTCCTTGTTTCATTCAACCATCTTAAAATGAAAATACAATGCTGCCATTTTAACTGTTGTGTTTAATTTTTAACTGTTGTGTTTAATTCAGTCAATAAAATTTGTTGCTCCTTTGCATTTAAAAAGAATTCTGTTATTTCTCCAGGATCAGTTTCATTTCTGGCTTTTTCAATTTTTAGAAATTATACTAATGGTGATGACCATGATGTGATATGTGTGTGTGTGTGTGTGTGTGTGTGTGTGTGTGTGTGTGTGTTTATGTGTGGACTGGGGGAGGCTGTGAGAAAGACCAATGGGAGATCCATATTTTTTGTTGCACTTTGTAAACAAATGAAAAATTATTGTTTGATTTGGGCCTCTGCCTTTTGAAAGGCATGTTTGCTGTTCTGGCTCTGATCCGATTTCGGAGCCCTTTACTTAGAAAACCTCCATGCCTGCCATCCCTCCTGAGGCCAGCTAATCTGCTGTAACCAATAGGTAGCAGCCAAATTAAGGCCACTGGAGTCTTTCTAAAAGGCTATTTCCTGGTTTTTTGTTTATTTTGTTTTCACTTCTTATGTTGAATAGGTTCAAATCCACAATATTTTGAGACTCAATATGATTAATAATAAGATTGTGCCATTTTGTTTTTAAAAAATAAAAATTAAAGCCTAAATTGTTTTGAAGTATATCACCCTTAAAATAGATTTGTTCACACTACAGATGCTTACACTTCTCCTGAATACCAAGAAAATTTATATTTATCTGCAGAACATGATGAAAAAATACTTTCAAAGGGAGATCTGATTAGTCACAGTAAATAATCGCATTAAATATACATCAGTAGAACCACAGATAGTGAGCCAGGAAGTTGATGAAGCCTTTCTGTTGCCCTCCCCTTCCTCCAAGCCCTTTTTCTCCCTCTTCTTCTTCTCTATTCCTTGAATTAACATGGAAAGCACTTTGAGATAACTTAACCCAACCTCTCTTCAATGAGGCATTGAAGAAACTAAAGTTCACAGATGCTAAGAAACTTGCTATAAAGTCTTTGAAGAAATTAGTTGTGGTAAAAAGAGCCTAAGTGTATTAGTCTGTTTTGTGGTATTATAGCAAAATACTGAGGGCTCGGCACTTTTAAAGAAAAGAGGCTTTTTAGCTCTGGAGGTCCGAGAGCATGTTGTCAGTATGTGCTTGGCTCTGGTGAGGACTTCATAGCAAATGGCATCACATGGCAGGAGTGTGTGCCAGAGTGTTGACCAGTGCATGCAGAAGAGGGATTCCAGGGAGGTGCCAGGCTTGCTTCTAACCACACATTCTGGTGGGAACCGACCCAGTCTCATGAGATCTGCAGGAATCTCTTCCCAGGGTGATGCCCATGGCTTGGTTACTTTCCACTAAATCCCACCTTTTAAAGAGTCTGAACATCAGCACTGACACACTGGGGACCAAACCTCCAGCGTGTGCCAGATCTAAACCCAATGTGGTAGCCAATTCAACCTGGTTTAGACCCTTATCAGTTCTGTGAACCAAGACAGATTCTTGAATTTCTGTGAGCCATGAGTTCCCACTGTATAAAGTGAGGATAGAGTAGTTGCATCTACTTCAGTTGTATCTAGTTGTATTAACGTTTAGAAATATAGGTGTCCAAGACATAATTTTTGTTTATGTTAACTTAAGCTCCTTTTTTTTTTTAAAAAAAGGCATTTATACAAATTAAAACTTTTTAAATTTGGGTTGGGATTTGAAATATTCCTCAACAGAGAACTTGCTTAGGTACAGGGCTGAGATCAATGTGGACTTCTCTAATGGGGTGGGGTTATAAAGAGATGAAGCGTGCTTGAATAGGAACAGTGTAACGAATAGGAGTCGAGGTGGCCTTATGTGTGTATTATTTTGAGACTGAAGTTAAAAGGCTTCGTATGATTAGGAGAGAATGTGGAGGGGGAGCCTATTGTTTATAGAAGAAATCAAAGGTAATGGCTGAGTTGGCTGGGGACTTGGCAGCTGAAAGACCAATGGTGGTCAAGTCAAACTAGAATTTACTGCCCCAGACACCAAAAGATAGGCTGTAAGACATTATACAACCACAGATGAAGGCAGATAGCTGGGTGGTTTATTTTAAAGTGCAGATACATCATTGTGGCTCTAATATGGTGGGAAAGAGAGTAATAGTATGGACTTAAGAGATAGAAAATAATTTAAGCAAAGAAGGCAAATTTTTTTTCCTGCTATTTTAAGCAAAGAGTGAATGAATAAAGTCTGTGCTCTGTGAATTTACAACCCCCACAAAGGACCTCAATTCCTGAACACACCTCACGGAGCAAGCATCCCTCTGCCTCAGGTGAGATGTGGTATCCTGGAACTTAATGATGATATCATTCTTACACTGCGTGGCACCCAAATTCAAGGCAATGGAGTGTTTGGGCACACTGACAGATGCCAGTCTCCAGGGTGGAGCCTTAAGACGTGACATCTTAAAGGTAAACACACTTTTTTTCTTCTACGCTGTTTCCACTGTCTATAGAACTTTAACCCTAAGGTTTGGAGTTCCCAGGATACAACTCTTCCCCAGAAAGACAAATTTAGTATCATAAATTTAAATAAAGAAAACAAAATAGTGAAAAAATGCCCTTGAATTTTCCCAACCACCTGAGTCTTGTGTCTTCAGATTCCTGTCCACTCTAGGATACAGGAGGTGCTCATGAGCCAGCAGGGGTGTTGGGTGACAGGGCGATAGGTAGAGAAGGGGATTGCCTTAGCTTTCTCTCACTGTGACCAAACACTTGAGATAATCAACCGAAGGAGGAAAGGTGTCATTTGGCTCCTGGTTTCACAGGTTTCTGTTACATGGCCCCATTGTGGCATCCAGGAAGCAAAGAGAGATGAGAAGGGCCACGTCCCAATATTCCCTCAAGGGACACTTCCTGGATGAACCAACTTCATTAGGTCCTACCACTTCCCAATAGCAACACAGTCTGGGGACCAAGGCTTTAGCTGTGGGCCTTTGTGGGGGCATTTCAAATTCAACCTATAGCAGGGATATTCCAAGAAAGAATAGAAGCAAGAGCAGGACTGGGGATGTGACTGCAGTTAATATCCCTCTCTCCTTGTACATGACCTGAGTGGCCGCCATTTTTCCATCAGGGAGTTGATTGGGTATTCCCACCTAAGATCTGCTCTTTTATGTTTTTCTGGTTCTGGGTCTAAGATTGGAGAGGCTAGTTTCCTCCCCAGCTCCTAAGATCTTTGTACCCCTGCTCCCATTCCCCAAGTGAAATTGGACTTTTAGAAGGTAATTGAGAGTCCTTGGAATTCTCCTCCAGGTCAGAATCTGCCTGTTTCAGCTCTGTTATTTGGTGGATATGGACACTTTTTAGAGGACTCTGGTTCTCTTGGGCAGCTTAGGGACCACAGTTATCAGGTGCTCAAGAGATTCTAAGCCCAATGTTGCATACTTGATTTTCCATTTGACCAAAAAATCATATTGATTGTATGTGATGACAGTTAATGGATTCAAGCCTAACACTTTATGCACTGGGTTCTGGGCAGGCATGACAGAGGTGGATGAAGTGACACTAGCCCCTCTTTCCAGGCCACCTAAACTTGCCCATAAACTCCCTGCATGCAAATCTCTGCCCCACATCATTTCCTAGGGAATCCCAGCCAATGATATGATTTCCATTTTTTAACAACAACAACAACAACAACAACAAATAATTGAAGCTTAGAGACCTCAAGTGTTTCTGACAATACAGAAGTTTAGATAGAGTTAAGGCTATTTAAGTTGGGCATGCACCTAGCATGCACTTGGAGTCCCAACTACTCGGGAGACTGAGGCAAGAGAAGTTTAAGACTCAGAAGTTTGAGACCAGCCTAGGCAACATAGTGAGATTCTGCCCTCCAAAAGGAAAAATAAATAAATCCTTATACAGAGCACTTTAAAATGCCAGACAAAATTCATATTTATTTCTTTAAACGCATAGTTGAAGTATCAAGGAAGGGAGGCTAACACCCCTGGGAGTAGCTACTGATCCCTGGAGACTTAGATCTTTGGGTTCCATGGCCCCAAAAAAAGGGTTGGGAATAATAAGAGAAAGAAGATAAATTCACAATCAAAGGGAAAGGACTGCATTTTAGCTCTTTAGGTAATTGATAGATGAAGCAGACACAAAATCAGTAAGGATAAAGAAGATTTGAGTAACATATTAGGACACATATATAACCCTGGACCAAATAATTAGAAAATCCACATTCTTTTCAAGTACCAATAAAGGTATAAAAAAAATTAAAAAAAATTGACTACATCCTAGGCTTTGAAGTAAGTCTTAATATGTTTCAAAAAACAAGTTCCACAAAGAAACACGTGCTGGTAAAACAAAAACTACACTACAAATTAGTAGTGTGTGTGGGGGGAGAAATCACTGTATGCAATTGGAGTTTTGGGTGTGTGAGTGTACTAGGTGTTGAACCCAGAGCCTTCCTCTTCTTGCTAGCACATGCTCTACCACTGAGCTACACACTTTGCCCTTGAGAGTTTCTTTAAGTGTACTTTCAATAACTCAGGGATTGAAGGCCAGATGGAAATTAGAAAACAATTAGAAATGCATAATTTTCTGAATACAGTATAAAGTCAAAAAAATATAACTAATGCTCTATTTAGAAGGAATTTCATAGCTTCAAATGTTTAAGTTACCAAAGATGAAAAGCTGAAAATTAATGAGTTTACAATCCATTTTCATCAAGTGTAAAATATTAGAAAAAGAATAACCGAATAAGCCCATAGGAAATATAGGTAAGTAGTAACATGAATAAAAGCAGAAAGTATAAGTCAGAAAACAAAGTTACCCTGAAGTGGATTAACAAAGAAAAAATCAATTGCTTTGAAAAAAATCTATTTATTAAGAAAAATAGAAAAGATATACGTAACATTCATAATGAGATGGTTTTAACTATAGTAATAGCAGAGATAGAAATATAATAAAGACTATTATAGTTATGCCAATAAATTCCAAAAATACATATGAATTGCCAAAAGTGACTTGAGAAGTCAGTTTTAGGTAACCTAAAGGGTTCTACAGTGTTGGAAACATAGAATTGATAAACTCTTCCTCCTCCTCTAAATCAAACAGCAAAAGCAGATGGCAGA